TGAGCTAACAAGCCAACTGGGAGCAGGCCATCAAATTAATTCGATATAAACCCGTAGATGATAAATCGAACAACAACAAACATATGAAACATATGAGTGAACTGCGGTTATGAGACGTATATAAGAACGATCCTTCGCAGTAAAGCACTATTTAAGCAATAGTGGAAATCAGACCTGAAAAAAATTTCAGGCCTGTACGGGATTCGAACCACTGACCTCTGCGATACTAGTGCAGCGCTCTACCAATTGAGCTAACAAGCCAACTGGGAGCAGGCCATCAAATTAATTCGATATAAACCCGTAGATGATAAATCGAACAACAACAAACATATGAAACATATGAGTGAACTGCGGTTATGAGACGTATATAAGAACGATCCTTCGCAGTAAAGCACTATTTGAGCAATAGTGGAAATCAGACCTGAAAAAAATTTCATGAGCAATAGTGGAAATCAGACCTGAAAAAAATTTCAGAGGTCAGTGGTTCGAATCCCGTACAGGCCTGAAATTTTTTTCAGGTCTGATTTCCACTATTGCTCAAATAGTGCTTTACTGCGAAGGATCGTTCTTATATACGTCTCATAACCGCAGTTCACTCATATGTTTCATATGTTTGTTGTTGTTCGATTTATCATCTACGGGTTTATATCGAATTAATTTGATGGCCTGCTCCCAGTTGGCTTGTTAGCTCAATTGGTAGAGCGCTGCACTAGTATCGCAGAGGTCAGTGGTTCGAATCCCGTACAGGCCTGAAATTTTTTTCAGGTCTGATTTCCACTATTGCTCAAATAGTGCTTTACTGCGAAGGATCGTTCTTATATACGTCTCATAACCGCAGTTCACTCATATGTTTCATATGTTTGTTGTTGTTCGATTTATCATCTACGGGTTTATATCGAATTAATTTGATGGCCTGCTCCCAGTTGGCTTGTTAGCTCAATTGGTAGAGCGCTGCACTAGTATCGCAGAGGTCAGTGGTTCGAATCCCGTACAGGCCTGAAATTTTTTTCAGGTCTGATTTCCACTATTGCTCAAATAGTGCTTTACTGCGAAGGATCGTTCTTATATACGTCTCATAACCGCAGTTCACTCATATGTTTCATATGTTTGTTGTTGTTCGATTTATCATCTACGGGTTTATATCGAATTAATTTGATGGCCTGCTCCCAGTTGGCTTGTTAGCTCAATTGGTAGAGCGCTGCACTAGTATCGCAGAGGTCAGTGGTTCGAATCCCGTACAGGCCTGAAATTTTTTTCAGGTCTGATTTCCACTATTGCTCAAATAGTGCTTTACTGCGAAGGATCGTTCTTATATACGTCTCATAACCGCAGTTCACTCATATGTTTCATATGTTTGTTGTTGTTCGATTTATCATCTACGGGTTTATATCGAATTAATTTGATGGCCTGCTCCCAGTTGGCTTGTTAGCTCAATTGGTAGAGCGCTGCACTAGTATCGCAGAGGTCAGTGGTTCGAATCCCGTACAGGCCTGAAATTTTTTTCAGGTCTGATTTCCACTATTGCTCAAATAGTGCTTTACTGCGAAGGATCGTTCTTATATACATTAATCTTATGTTCAAAAATGTGACGGCTATACGCCTGAGCTGCATGTAGTCGTAGACTGCGTATTTTTTTTAATGGCGTGCGCGGACTTGCAATTTTCCTTCTGCATTTGCATTCGACGAAGAATGTGGACTAAAGATAAACCGAAGTGCTATCTATCAAGCATGACAGGACACGAGCTTCCATGTCAATCACTCTTTTATGAACAAGATTTTTTTTCTGTGGTTACTGCCTGTAGGAGGCGAAGCCCGTTGAAGTCCTAAATGAAATAACTTTCCTAAATGTAATAAAGTCCCAAATGTAATAACATTTGCTCCTAAAGGTAATAAAGTCCTAAATGTAATAGAGTACTAAATGTAATAGCATTTGGTCCTAAATGCAATAAGCCTCCGATGCAATCGTTTGACTGCGCTAGTGCATTGTTGTTAGAGCGGACATCCCCAGTTGGGTGTTAAAGTGACCGCCGGTTACACCAAAAAATCGTCTGACCAGTATTCAGGTCACATTGCGGGCTCGCCGACGTCAATCTGCATTTTTTCTCTTACATTGACTGCAGACCGTTATACTGACGGCATCAAATGACAGCTGGCAAAATAATGAGTACGTTGACCAATACCTCCATATATCACTGGCTCAGACTCTTAAGTACGATAGATTTTGGAAAAATGTGATAACGTTATAATTATGTGATCAGTGATGGAGGTACAAGTCATAAAACAAATTACAAACTTGGATAAGGGAGTCTGCGGATTGTAGGTCGGAAAATTTGCAGGCTCGGATATACATTTTTTGTACGCAAATTTTGCATTGTTTCCCAATGCGGACCTTGTGACAGCCGTCTAGAGAGTTATTGCTTTCAAATTCTCGAATATTTTCGTGATTATATGAATAGAGGCAAGATCATTTTTCTCTCCAAGAGAACATAATTGAGGACGATTATGTTCTCTTGATATTGCAATGCATGCAACAAATCCGACAAACAAAAAATCGTACTGCATGCATCTACATCAAATTACATACTCAGTGACTTACAATTAACAGGTGTACATCTGGATAAAATGTAATTTTCCTAACGAGTAACACAATGAACAGATTCGGAAATATCCTCTCATTTCTTACAAAGTACTGAGACATCTCGATATAAATATGTTAAAAAGCTTTAACAGTAACATTGAAAAGCATTTACACACATTGAGCACAGCTGCAATTGTAAGAGATTGGAAGTAAGTAAATGCGTTCTTCAGTTTATTTAGGAATCCTTAGCGTTTGAAATGGAAAAATCAAAGACAATGTAGATGTATATATATGGAATAATCAGTTCGTCCTCCTCCTCTATGGAGTGGCCACTGAGTAGCAAAGCCTTTATGAAATTGAAAATTTAATAGCACAGTTATTCAAGTCTGGTATCATTCTTCTTCAGCAACTAACCTTGTTTTCGGAGAAAATGTTGCAAGTTGCAGAACTGACGCAGCCAGTTGCCACGGTATACCATGCATACAATAAGTGAATTTAGATTTGTATCCCTTGGTGAATACAATATAGGCTGCATGTGGTTGGCTTTTAGCTATTTCTGCTAGTGTTAAGATTTCCCCTTTCCAACCTTGAACTTTCTCTGCGCAGTACTGATCTTTGTACTCCTTAGATCCTATAACAGCCCCTAGATACCTTTTCCTTCCGTTGTGATATTAACTTCATCATCGAAGACACGTTTTGCTTCATCCGCCTAACTCTTGTGACTTCAAGATAGGCCAACTGTTTGATCCATTGACCAAGTATTGCTTTCCATCCTCGCGCAGGTACTTGTACCTGCGATATAAATCTTCTACTCTCCCTCCCCCTGCTGAGTCGTCAGCCAGCCAAACTTGTTTAACTTCTGATACATGCGATCTCAAACTTTGCTGTCATCGCATGTTGGCCATTTTCCAAATTCAAAATGAAAATGTTGCTCTTTTGAAGCATTTAGGATACGTATAGGTTAAAAATCAGTGATTTTCAAAATGCTCAGCTTGACGGTTCAAATTTCTTTTTGTTTTTTTTTTTATTCCTTTCTTTTCCATTTCTTTACTTTCACGCCGAACAAAATCCTACAATCCACGTTTTAAAAAGGTAGTCACAAGCTATTATACAGCCTTGTTCAATAAATTCTCATTTCTGACTTAAGCCTGTATTAGGTCATTGTCCGTGCAACGTTTTTCAAAGGTTTCTCTCTTCGTTCCACCAAACAGCGGTTTTTTTTTAAATTGCTCAACCGAACGATCACACGTAATTGTCAGTTCAGTTGAATGCTCCTTGCCAGTCTAAACCGTTAACTGTAAAAAACCTGATTGGTGAACTGTTTCATGATCCAATAGCCTCCTATCAGAAATAATTAACAGGCAACAAACTAGGAAAGAGAGAATAGCCGTTTTCCCTTTCGAAAATATATGTGTTGAATCTTTAATGCCAAATCTTGTCTAGGAATCAGAATCAGAACAATCTAAGGTGATGAAAAGCTCGTATAATCCCAATTGCTCGATAGCTTGGAGCATTTTGATATTTTTTCGATAATAATTAGAAATTCGCGACCATTTCCAAGAGAAAACTAGAAATGAATTGCGAGATCACTGTGAAAATTTTGTCCATCATCATCATTTTCTTTGTTCAGGAAAAAGTGAAATGTTAAGGACTGTCCACAATTTTGTTTCCCACATGAGTCTTACCATGTACAGATGATCACTACAGCGACTTCAGTCTCAGACTGAATATGGGACGTCTCGGAAATTATTGCTATTGTTATATGTTTTCACTTGTTTGCTTAAGTGTTATCTTTGATATTTTGACCACCTGATCTATGGGGTACCGCAGAGGAAGATTTTTACTTCATTCACATCTTGTAAGTTCAATTTATTCCTGATGTATGTGTCTCTTTTTCCAAACAACGGTAAAATTGGCTCGACAGGTCGATCGGCGGCCTCATAAATCCGCCTCTACAAATGGAGTTCAAAATCAGATATACCTCCCTTGGACTGTAATTGAAATAGGAATAAAAGGTAAGAAACTAACTCGGCATCCTCAAAATAAAAACAGAAAATATCTACTTATATTTATGTAATGCTGCATTTCAAAGCGATTTGAGTGTTTATTAAAAGATTTTGGTCAAAAAAGCACTCACTGAGATATATTTGCCGCCTTTGAAATCTCCCCCAGTCTATGTATTAATGCCTGCAGCCGGTGAAAAGGTGGTACGATTCAAGATATTCGCTTTTAAAACATAATTTAAGCAGAAACTTCCTCTTTGTTTTTGTTACTATGAAACAATTTAACTAGCCGTGATAGATTGACAGGCCACGTGCACATGTTAGTTTGAGAATAGAGGATCCCTGCAGCTTGTTCCCCAATGGTGAATTTCAACAAAAGAAGCTCTTTTAATTGCTGCTCGGCTTTTGAATCGGCGGATAGTAATTAACTTGAAGATTTTGCAGTTAAGCGAAATCATAAAATTTAATGAGGCTTACATACAATCCATTGAGAAACATGCTGAATACGTCTGATCGTGTTTAAAACCGTCAACTCCCATAAGACTGCCCAGTTCGTTGCTGATCTCCTGTAGGTCCAAGATCTTCCCTTCGATCGAAGTAAACAATTAGCGGTGAGCACATTTGTTAAATATTTATCATGTATAGTTTTGAGTGTTATTTCAATCTTTGACAGATTTCGTTTAAACGAAGAAGTAGTTCATTTTAATGGTGTTATGCGTCTGTAACAGTTTATTATCTCCTGTTTTCGATTCTTACGTGCCATTTAGTCGGATTTTATTTACTCGGTCAAACGTTAAAAACTTCCTCAGTTGATAAGTAAAATTATCCATTAAAGAAGTTTCTCCGTTTGCAAGACTTTCTCCAGATTATCCGAACTAATCGATAAGGAGGCAGTCGCGCCAAGTGGATAATTCGTAACAGTTTTCTCGACCGTCTGTTTGACCAAGTGATTTCTTGGTTTTCTTTATGTTGCCTAGAAGGAACAGGAAAAAAGCTCCTAAAACAGTAGCGAACCATCTGGCTATGTTTCTGCGTCTCTGAGTGTAGCAGCACATGTATCTATCAAGTTCTGTTACTGAATGTTTCCCCAGATGAGGTCAATGGATTCGTATTTTTTATTCTTTTCTTAATTTTCCATTTCGGTCGTTAGATATTTTCCGGTGGCTAATTTCGCTTCGCTTGGAGATCAATTCGTAGAACATTTACATTGAGAACAAAATAAATAGTGGAACAGGTGCTACGATTTTGTCACCTCAGTTTCAATTCATTTAAAGCATTGATAAAAATCGTAATGTTATTTGAAGAAGTCTTTTGTTCAAATGTCGCTGGCACAAATCCAGAATCTGATTTCAGTCAGGTAACGAAATAAAGCCGGAGAAGGGAAAATGCGAGAGGAACACAGATTTCGAGGTAACGCCGGCAGATCGTGTTTTAAAAGAGAAGTTCGTCGCATAAATTTGCAAGGAGTCGACCCAGCACTTCAGTGAATGCTTGTAAATGTTCCCGAACAACTAAGCAATGTCAATAAAAACCTTTTAAGTTCAAGTTAAGCGGTCAGACTCATGGTTCGGTCTTTGACCCTTGGAACGAACTATGAAATATCTTCATTTTGGAAATGAAATGTTTGGTCTTGAGGAAAGAAACATTTTTCTTATTTCTTCCTTTCATGTCGCCTAACTGAGTCATCTTTAATTCCCAAAAAATTGAACGGAGTGATATCAAATTTTTTCTTCGATTACAGTTTTGCAATTTTAAAGAAGTGTGAGTTTTGTAAGTTCACTTTTCAACACGTGTAAATGGCAGCGCTAAAGCGTTGAGTCCAATCGTTTATTTACTACCTGCCGTGGCTTATGACTCTGTCGGTAATTACCAATAAGAGAGGAAATTTTCTCTCTTTACAGAAATTTCAGAGACATTAACGCTGTGTCATTTCCCTTGGCTGAAAAATTACTCCGGAAACCGGCAAAAATAACACCATTACATATGATTAAATTGTGACAGTAAAAGGAAATACACTGCTACATAATTTGTTGCCGAATAGGTAACCGTTAGTAAAGTTCTTCAAATAAGCGAGTCAGTTTGTTTGTTTCTGATGATATTTTTCGCATTTTCAGCAGCTGAAAGTAATTTGAGTAATAAGCAGCAAGAGAAACTAACTATTTTATTCAAGAAGAAATCGGTTACTGCTGTGAACTCATCTTGCATTGTAAATAACATTTCCACTTAAGCGGGCGAATATTTTCAAAACTTTCTCGCCGTGAACCTATAATTATAACTAGATTCCCCATAGGTCAGCCTTGCAAATATTTACACCGATTATGTACACTGAACCAAATTCATCTCAAAATGAGGGTGGCTGCAAAAAGTTAAAAAAATTAAAGATTTCTTCCATCATTTTTCAATAGCTGAGTAGATTTAAGCAGAGTTTGCGTGCGTATGACTGAATTTTGAGTAAATGGTTTCCTCATTTAGAATTATATGACTTTTTTTTTAGCTTAATACAACATTATTCTCCACAATCCTCCAAGGTTATATTTAAGTTCATCAATGAAGCGGCCAAAATAGCCCACTACCAAGTTTAAAATTGTCCAAACTTGAATTTTAGGTAAACACGGAAAAAGTCTTTTGATGTTATTGATTTCTAAGAATGTGCTTCTGAAAAAAACTGCATGCAAACAGCTTATAATGGATCTCTTCAACCGTTAATCTACCATTAATTGTATAAATTAATGATTAAATAATGGTCGCGGGTGGATATTGGGAGGGGAAATTATTTATAACTCTATGGTTGTTGGTCAAAGATGATGTAACGGCAACAAATTACATGGCGGCTTCGAGATACGAAATTTTTCATCGGGAGAAGATAAAACTTCTTATCTCCAAGCGGCTATGTAATATCTTCTTTTTGATTGGCGTTTGAAAGAGGATAAAGATAACTTTCGATATCCTCAGGGCCTTGAGACTGGATATTGAAATTTCCATAATCTGTTATATATCTTAGGAATGTGACTTTCAAAGAGATTCTCCTTCCAAAATCTTATTTATATCGATCTACTATTTTGCAGAGGAACCTATGGAGGAGGGGGGATCTTGGGGTAGATTAGAAATCGCAAAACCGTAGAAAAAATCGGGCAAAGCCACAAAACCGCAAAAAAAAAACAAAAAAACAAATCAATCAAAACCGAAAACCGCATGCAAAACCGTGAAAGCCGATAAGAACCCTATTAAAATCGATCCGAACAGTGGTGACAATTGGAGTATACAGAGGTTTCGCGGCTATTCAAGATCAACGGAGGCGCATAATTGCTGCTCAGGTTGAAGAGAGGCGGGAACCCAAATGCTAAAACAAGAAAATACGCAAACCGCAATGAACACCAGAAAGCACCGAGAAACCGATCTGAAAAATAATCAGAACCGCAAAACCGAAAATCTCAATGCCCCCCTAATGGAGCATTGAGCCTTTATCTATCTAGATAATTAGGTTATATCAAAAAAATTAATTGGTTAAATTGGCCACCGTAATGGGTTAGCCGAATGATTCGCTCAGACGAAGGGCTAACGCTCGAAACGTCAGCTTTCTAATTCGTTACGGTGGCCAATTTACAATTTCAGCTTAGGTGATATAAACAAATTACCTTGTTACCCCCATCGACGCAGCACCACCGTTTCTTTAGAAACTTTCCCCCTTTATTTATCTATCTACATAACTAACCTACTATCATTTTATCTGGGCAATGTCGGTTGGCTCCAATTTTAGGGTTTATTGTAAACACTAAGATTAAAATGATTGATTCGATCACGAAATCATACTTTGTTTCAATTTTGTGCGTTGCAGATCTTAAGCAGCCCTTTGGTTTACCGCTCGTTTACTAGTTGAACGTTTTACAGAATTTTAAGACAAAATGAAGGGCCTTGTCTTTATACTTATTTTGTCCATCGTGTTTCAAGTCAAAACACAGAAGAATCCTGATTATATTTACAAGGCGGCGGCCCAGGTAAGAGTGTTTTTACTAAGCTCATCTTTAATTTTTCCATTTTGTGTGTTACTGTTCTTCAAGTATACTGGTGGCAACTTTACCTTCTAATTGATCTCAGTGTAGATAAAACAGCAATTTTGGATTGAGGCCGCAAATAGAATTTGACGGTTTTCTCTATGGAAATGAAAATTTAGAATTTTGAACTGAGGTGTAACAGGTGAAACAGATGCAAAGACTGGTAAAAATTTATTTTGAAGGGTTTATTCTTTATCTCAAAAACTACGAGCGTTGTGTGAAATTTTTATTCTCACTTTTTCCACCAAGGACATTTATGGTATGAAATTTCAGTTTGTTTTTCCAAACGGTGACCTTAAAAGAATCAGATTATTCAAAGTGTTGTCAACAGCAGGGATTTTTGTGTTTGATTCTATCAATACGTGTTTATGAAATATTGGTAAAGCGAACGATGTACTACAAATTATCCACACAGATCTGCAAGCCATACTTCCTCCAGTGTAAACAAAATCCCGATAGAGGGATAAGCGACTGTTTCCAGGATGTGTACAAAACCTGTATTCCATCGGTAAGTTATTGTTGAGTTAAATCGCTCTGATCTATTAAATACATTTCAATTTGACATCCAGCATAGGGGTAAAACGAATGCTAGGTCTTCAAATCTTGGAAGCAAATTTTCTGTGTTCTACATCAGTGAATGAAAACCAAATAAAGGAACAGATAGATAAGAAATAAACAGAGCTGAAAAATGGAAAAGTGGTGAAATAAAAACTCTAAAGAACCACAATTCTTCATTTTTTTATTTGTTTATCTGTTAAATTAACAGCTTGTTCTTCTGTAACAAAACACTTACTTGTATTTGCGTGAGTAATTACCCATAGAAAATTTTTACTTACTACCGCCATTGACTCCCAAATAAGTGTGACCGCCTATATTTTCATCTTGTTTTGAAATGAGGTACAACTTTCTCTGAAAATTTAAAATTTAGGAGCACAAATACAGCAGGAACTCATGAAAAATTATCGCAATGACATAAATACGAATTTTAGTGGCAACAAAGAGTGTCCCTACTGTCAAAGGGGTATTGAGATACTAGTAAATTACCGTTTATCTGAAATCTGAAATCCATTGGTAATTAAGACGGCCAATCAGAAGAAAGGAAAATAACCTGAATAGCGAATGAGAACTCAGAGTGAAAACAAGCAAACTTCATAAAACGCGGGTGACCAAGTCTTGACTGGTTTTAGTTTTGCATCTGATTGGTTGACAGTGTGGCGCGAGATTCCTGGACCAATCACAGAGCAAAGTTAAGTCAAACCACCTCAATCCCAAATTACTTTCGAAACTCAGTGAAAATTGCTCTAATACTGTCTTGGTATTTACAGTTTCGTGAGGGATTTCAAGCCATCGAGAAGTGTGTTGCTGATGCTGGAGACGATTTGCAATCTGTCATGACGTGCACTAAAGGTTTCACAGAAGCTTGACACGCACCTTTTCTCTAAGCCAGTGAATTAAAAGAACAGAGTGTAATCAGTATAGGATTTAAGATATGTTAAAGAATCAAGAAAGAATCAATAGAGATGTGTCTCGAATTTAGACCTTTTTTTTTTTGTATATTTCTTTGTTTTAAATATAAGAAGGCGATTTAAGAAATAAAGGTCTTTGAAAACTACATTTTGTGTAGTCTGTGTGTGTCTGCTTTCGTCTTTTTTTGTTGTTGTTTTTTATCGTTTTCTTTTTTAGTTTCATTCGCTTGTTTTTTTTTTGTTTTTTGTTTTTTTTGCAAGCAAAAAGCGCTCGCACAACGCCGGGCCTTTCAGTCCCTGGCTATAACCCATTTCCAAATTGACCTACTGTTCGGATACAGCAAAGCCATTCCATACTGCCACTTAGAGGCAGAAACGAATATATTTACCCTAAAAACGAAGGCAGAAATTCTGTTTTTTATTGGTATTTTATTCTGTAGCTTTATGCATAACGAGCAATTGTTGTGCCTCTTCTTCTAAGAAAGAAGTGACTTAAGCACTTCAGGAACATGAGGCTCCAGGCGAGAGATTCATACCAGAGAAGAAAGCTGCCTGACAACTGACAACCGACCACTGTTTAATTTGCAATGGCGGGTCCATCATAAAGTACTTTATTTTTGACAAAATAAAAGAAAATTTAAAAACCAAATAAAATCTTGGAAGGACATTTGCCTGGGAAACGTCACATCTGATCCAACAAAGCATTCAAATTGAATGGCTCAAACATTCCGGGTTGGTAACTTCAGTTAACATATTAAAATTAAAACTACTTGACGCTGTTTCCTGTAACAGGGTGACAAAGAAAGAAACATCGTTTTCCATTCTTCATTCCACACCTGAAAAGAAGTTGATGCATATAAAGGATTAAAGTACAGCGAGTTGCTGCCCCTGATTTTCATTTAGATGTGATATCTAGTTCAAATTTATAACTTGAACCGCAGACCAGACATGGTTGATATCACTGCCGGGCATTTATTTTCAGATGTTATTAGAAGTTTTCCACTAAAGAATGATTGACAGTTTCAAACGAGGTCGCACTTGAAATAAACGTTGATTAGAAGCAGTTGATACAAATATATAATGAGAAACATTTTCGAGTAACAGATATTTTCAACTGATATCAGTAGGTATCGCCGCTGTATCTCACGCACAAATTCAAAATGGCTCTTATCCTTTCTTTCTAACTTCGTTTGATTCAGGATCGGAGGAGGCAGGGGAAGTAAAAACTTCAACCAAAGTTCAGGTCTCCCTCTATTTTAATCTAGAATACCTGTATAGCAGATTTCATATTCACTTCTACCTCGCGAGGAAACAAGGTTATTGCCGTGCGATTTGTTAGAAATCCTCATGATGCCTCCAATTCATCTGAGACTGAGGTTAGTATGCCTTCGAGTTAATAATAACAGATTGAGTAATGATGTTTTTCACATTTTCATTTTAGCCAACTAAACAGTTATTCTTGGTCGTAACAGGTTGTTAGATGAGTTCGAATAAATCAAAGAATATCCTTAGTCATTATTCCAGAAAAGCCTGTTGTTAGGAAGACTGTAGACAGAGCCATGGTTTTTATCCCAGGCTTTGTGTTTTCAATGACAGTGGAATCCTCTAACTCCTCTTTCTCTCACCCAGTCAACTCGAAACCCCGCTAACTCAAACAAGATCCAATTTCTATTCGATGTAACCCCTTTTTCCCAATCATATACCCTCAGTTAACTCAAACTCGGCTAATTTAGGCTAATTTTAATTTTCCTTGGTTCAAATTTACTCTGAGGAGTCGAAAAAAGCTTTTATAAAACAAATTTAATGTGCGAAAATGACTGTTGATTGTGCAAGAATAGAAAATTTCTTATCAGCAGGATGATTGGAATTTAACACCGATCCCGAGAACTCGAACCCCCCGCTAACTCGAACCGTTTTTCGTTTCCCTTGTAAGCTCGAGTTATCGGGGTGCTACTCTGAATCAGAAACGTTTTAAATGACTGTAGATCCCCTCTGTCTTTTACAGCATTTTTTTGGCAACTTGCTTGACATTTAGTTGCCGCGGACAAACGTCAAACGTACGAAGAGGATGTGGCGTCGACGATTCCAAAGAAGGTCGTCCAAAATCACTATCATCTCAGTACATACCTGAAATCGAAAATATCTTGATGACGAGCGCGTTACAGAGACAAGACAAGGATGCATTCAATGCCTTGTTCAACAAAAACTTACAGTGTAAAGAGCAGTATCTTGTGCCCATAGCTTGGCATGTTCTCCATGATGCGCGGGGGAAAGGAAATGTCTCTGTGACCATGCTGGAAGATCAAGTGAAAGTTTTGAACAGTAAGAATGCTGAGTTATACAGCTAATTTCTTTAAAGCTCTCCAGGGCGACGCGTACAAGAATTAATAGTCTCACACATAAGAAAACGAAGGGCCCTCACCCTGATTTTGAGAACTGCCCATCCATGCAACATATGCAAAGAGGTCAATTGAAAACAGATGGGTATTTTCATCATCTTAATTTTTACAAAAATTATATAAGAAAAATGGATAAAATTTAATTAGTATTCGACTGATGTTGCAATAAAATTCCGAGAACTAAAGAGCTTCATGTTATAAATGGACCTGTCTGATTGGCCGGCTGGCTAAAATTTAGTGCCCCAGGTTTGCACCTGTACCTGTACCACAACTGTTTTTGAAATCCGCGAAGATATTAGCTCATTAAAGGAAATTAACGATGCACGTTCAAAACGCGAGGAAACTTTTACTTTACACAAGAGTAACGCGAATTTTCCAAAAGTTAGGTTTACATACATTTAATTAACGCGAAATTTTCGAAAAAAAATTGTGCACTTAACTTTATTCTACGCAAATTTGCTGCAACGCGAACGTCTCAACATACGTAGCTAAAGGAAAAAACAGCAGCATTTCTAGTCATTGTTAGCGCGATATTTTTTAAACTCGCGTTAATAAAGTTCATCGTTAATTTCTTGTGGTAAAGGTAAGTGACTGGCCCAATCAGATTCAAAACGAAAACATATCATGATTTGGTCACCTGCGTTTTGCTGCATTTCACGCAGCTTGCCTCTTTGCACTTCGAGTTCTCATCGGCTAATGGTGATGTCCACCTTCGCTCCGATTGGCTGTTGTGTTAAGTTTTGGTTTAAGTTTTTCGAAACTTAGCTGAAAACTGGGATTACGATTGTTAGGGAACTCTAGTGCCGCGTAAGTGTGGGGTAATAATAGAAAGTTTGGTCTTATCAACTGAGTAAATAGATATAAACTGGCCACGAGACTTAGCCCTTCGTCAGACCGAACAGAGGAATCAGGTTCCCAACAAAGGGCTAACATTTGTAAAGTAAGCTCAAGAAACTTTCTACGTATACGGTGTGGTGGTCAATTTACATTACGAATTCAGTAACTTTAATAAACCCAAACTATATCTTAGCTGAGTACAGCACTATCACTGATAAATTCTATTTGTGAAATTCTCTTGCTCACAATCGCCTTTGTTTATTTTTTCAGAGGCTTTCTCGGATTCACCATTCCGATTTGTAACGGTACGTTAATTAATGGTTAATGATATCAATGTGTTGAATTCTATACGCCTTCTAGTTGGTGCTTTCATAGGAACTATGAAATCATCATTTAAGAATTTCTTCTTTGAATTTCTTATCCTAAAACATCCTAAGTAGCTCACTCATTACTGCGACGCCAGGGAAGTCGAGGATTCGTGTCCCATGCTATTTTTTAAGGCCTCCGACTTGATCAAAGGATTGATTACTTTTAAAATATGGCCAACGTTTGGGATTCAGTCTCAGGACTTATCACCTCTTGATCTCTAAATTATTATCGACCCAAATCACAGAGTGCGAAGTGTTCAGAGTCGCCTCTACACGTCTTAAATGACTTCGTATTGTGTTAAGAACCAGTCATTATTTATGGGGAGGGGATAGAGGGGAGGAAGAGGATTTTTGGGAAACTATAGACAACTGACTGCCAGT